TACGTTGCGATGGCGGCTCTTCGTCGGCGAGCGCCGCCGAAGGAGGGCGCCTGGAGGCAAGCGGCAGTTCTCCCGCCCGTCCCGAAGCTGCTCGAAATCGGTCCCCAGCCCGGGTCCATCCTGCCTTGGTCGGGGCTCAAGAGACGGGCGTCGATGCAAACGGGGGCCAGCCAGAGCGCCAGATTTTGCGGGATCCTGCAGAGCCAGAGGCGCACTGACCCGGGCTTGGGTGCAGGATCTTGCAGGCTTCTGGAGGATCTTGCAGGATCCTGCAGGGCCTGACTGACCCGGGTTTGCGTTGACCCGGGCCAGTAGTCCGAGGCGGGAATTTCTACATGACCACCGCCTGGAGGACCAATTTTCGGGGACCTCGGCAGGCGGTGGACATGGACATGTTCGGCCCCCTGGGGCCATAATACATCCATGTCCGCCGCCCGCTGGGGCACCAGGTCGTCAGTTCCCAGGCGGGGGATATGGAGAAATCTTGTGGACGACGATCAATGGAGAGGAAGCGTGTTGCCACATACTTTCCAGATGCATGAGAGCAATATTTTGAACATGTCCTAAGCATGCAGGAAGCATGTTTGGGACATGCGTAGAACTTTTTGTGTTCAAACACCTTGAACACATGTCTAATTCAAAGATAGGACTGTGAGGGTCTCCACTGTTCGGATGCAACTCCTGGGAGGTCAAATTCTGATTTTGCCCTGGTCCGAAATCCCGCTTAATCCGGCTGAATCCCGCTTAACTCCGCTTAATCGGGCTTAATCCCGCATGATCCGAAGCCCACTCTGGCGTAACAGCCCCCCAATGGGGCTTAATCCTCTTTAACCCTTCCGACGAAAACCTCCCAGTCGTTGCCTCCTAACCATCTGTCACGGCACCCGCAAGATAAAAATCCACGCCTCGCGGGCAGGTCCCCGCCTCGGTTTTCCGTGGCGGGCCCGGCCCTGGCGCCGAGGCCTCCGTACGGGACGTGAAGACGACCACAGCCATTGCTTTTCTTTTGTTGCCGCCTTCCAGCCAGCAGAAACAAGGCAGTGGTTGTGGTCATTTTCGTTGAGCTTGGCACCAGAGACGTGACCACAGCCACTGCTTCTTTTTCGGCCGACTGGAAGGCGGCGCAGACAAGAAGCAGTGGCTGTGGTCATGTTCCCGTCCCGCACTCCGGGCGGCGCCCGGTGAGCGCCGCCCGGGCGAGCGCCGCACCAGCTGCATATCGCGCGGTGCGGCGCCGGCGCGGTGCGGCGGCGGCGCGGTGCCTCCGTGTGGCCACCCCGCCGCCGGGCCCGGCCGCGGCCCGGCCCGGCCACGCGGCCGAGCGCCTCCGAGCACGCCGGCGCGGGGTGTTCGCCGAGCGCGCTGCTCCGTTGCTCGCAGAGTGCCCACTCTCAAGTCGGGCCTGTCCCTCTACAGGGGGATATTCAAAAATAGTCAAAACAAATAGTCTGGGGACTATTTTTGGAGTATTTTTTTGGAAGGGGCCATTTGCCACTTCGGGTTGCTTTTTGAGTATTTTTTCGTTTCTTTCTCCCAAAATCCCCTCTGTAGGGGGACATGCCCAACTTACGCCTGCTCGCAAAAGGATCGAAATCTGCATGCTCGCTCCGACGCGGTGGATCGCAGCTCCCCCGCGGCAGATCCGGGCCGTCTGCGAGCAGCTATCTTGCGAGCAGTGGAGCGCGCTTGTCCAGATGTGCTCGGCGGCACCCCAACGTACTAACACCGCGAGGGGCGACGCGCGCGCGCCGAGAAGTCTGATCGTATCTGCATCGTGACGGGCGCTTTCTGGCCGCACCGCTCGGGAAAGGATGCACCACAAGATGGGTACATTATATGTTCGGGTCGGCCGCGCGCCTCCAAGGAGGACATATAGTATTATTAGTACGTCTCCATGCGTCCCGTGTGCGGGTGGTGACGGCGGTGGCGGTGGTGTGGGCGACGATGGCGTCGGCGATGCGTCGAGGCCCTCCGATCCCAAGCGCGACGGGGAGCCCACTCCCCTCCGTGCATCGCCGGCCCCATTTCGGAGGGCAGAGGCGGAGGCGGCTCGGAGAGCCTGGGGCGCCATGGAGAGGCGCGTGCTCAGGGGCCTCCTGGCTGGCCGGCTGGAGCTGCACGACAGCGCCATTCGAGGAACAAACATCGGCACGCGCATTGAGTTGCTGAGCTGGAGGGTTTCTCCGAAGGGCTTAGGCGACCCGTCCTCCTCCGCCTCCTCCTCCTCCTCTCCTCCTCCCTCCTTCTCCTCCTCCGCCTCCTCCTCCTCCTCCTCCCTCCTCCTCCTCCTCCTCCTCCTCCTCCTCCTCCTCCGCCTCCTCCTCCTCCTCCTCCTCCTCCTCCTCCTCCTCCCTCCTCCTCCTCCCTCCTCCTCCTCCTCCTCCTCCTCCTCCTCCTCCTCCTCCTCGAGTCGCCTACGGTCCTGGGGAAAACCGTGCACATTGAGTTTCGAAGCTCTGCGCAAGTTTCTTGGATCGGCGCTGAGCCTCCCTGGCGGCGCCTCCAACGCCGCCCCTGGCGCGCTCCGCCCGCGTGCCAGGGAGGGGGGGAGGCCAAGCGCCGATCCGAGACATCTGCGCGGAGCTCTGAAAGATGCGATCCGACCTTGTGACAAAATTGCAACATGAAAAATGGCGCTGGCGCCCGAGGTCCAATGCTTCAGCGCCATCGGTTCGAACCAGATCGATCTGTGATGGCCCCGTGGCCCGAAACTGGGCAAGCGCGCACGTTGCGAAATTGCCCCAGCAAGACATCCTCATAGCAGCCAAAGTGAAGAGGCGGGCCGAGGAGCAGGAGATCCGCTGGTGAAAACGTGCATTCCATTCCAAGGGATTCCTAGGACAGATGCAGCTGGGACAGGTGTGAGAGCACGGCAATGTGCATCGTAGTGTCTTGTTGCATGGGATCGTGACCGTCTGGACAAAGCATGTAGTCAGCATTGAGGCGAGAGCAGGATTTTTGAGTAACTTGTGAGGAGTCTCAGGCGAAATTGCTGCCGGACCAGGCGTCCTCGGTCTCCCCGTCCCCCCTGTGGGGCTCTTCTGTTGTCCTGTGTTACTTATTTTGCAAACCTCTGGCGAAACGCTATTAGGGACAACTTGCAACGCCGGGATTTGGGGTATGCCGCTTTTTGTTCCTCCAGCCATGGCGGAGGTGTTGCCCGGACTCTACCTGGGCCCTCATACGTTTCCAAACGGGACCCCAGGGAAAGGGGCTTTTGAGACGGGCGATGCCGAAATCTCAAGTCCATCGACGCAGGAGGGGGAGGAGCAAGACTCGGAAGAGGGGGAACGAAGCTGAGAAAAGGAGGAGGGGGACGAGAGGAGGAAGAGGTGGAGGAGGAGGAGGAGGGGGAGGCGGAGGAGGCGGAGGAGGAGGAGGAGGAGGAGGAGGAGGAGGATAATAATAATAATAATGATAATAAGAATAAGAATGATACTAATAAGAATAATAATAATCAGAATAACAATAATAATAAGAAGACGAATATGACGAGTAAGAAGATGAATCATAATAATAATAATAATAAGAATAATACGAATACGAATACTATTACTAATATGACGAATACTAAGACTAAGAATACGACGACGCATAAGACTAATGATAAGAAGACGAATAACAATGATAATAATAATAACAATACGAATACTAATAATGATAAGAAAAAGGAACATACTCAGATTACTAATACTATTACGAAAACTAATAATACTACAAATAAGAAAACTATGACGAATAATAATACGAATCGTAATAATATTGAGAAGAAGAAGACGAATAATAATAAACATAATAATAATAATAAGACTAATACGAAGAATAATACGAAGAAGAACACTACTACGAATAATAATAAGAGTAATAATAATAAGAAGAAAACGACTGCTACTACTACTACTACTACTACTAATAACAATGAGAATAATGATAAGAAGACTAATAATAATACTATTACTAATACTACTAATAATAGTCATAATAATAATACTGATCATACTACTAATAACATTATTATTAATACTAATAATACTAATTATACTAATACTAACAATGAAAAAAATAATACTAATAATAATGATGCTGATAAGAAAAAGAATAAACACAATACTAATAATAATAATAATAATACTAATTATAATAATAATATTAGTAATATTAATAATAATAATATTATTAATAATAATAATATTATTATTATTATTAATAATAATAATAGGGAGTGGTATGTTGTATTGGAGGCGGTGGATGTATATCCGGGGCAGATGAGGTGGAAATAGGTGGGGGGATGATGATGCATGATGATGATGATGATGCTGATGATGATGATTGAATGATGCTGGAATTGCTGATGCTGATGCTGATCTGATGAGGATGATGATATGAGGATGTGACGATGATGATTATGATGATTATTATGATGATGATGATAGATGATGACGATGACGGATGACTAGACGATGAGAATGATGATGATGTATGATGATTGACTGATATATGATTAAGGATATTTGATTAGATTATTATAGATGATGATGATATGATGATGATGAGGAGGAGGAAGTTATAGGAGAGGATGATGAGGGGAGGAGTAGAGAGGGAGGGGAGGCGGGTGAGGAGGAGAGCCGTAGCGATAGCAGTTGGATGAGGAAGGAGGAGCCACGGAGGAATGGGGGTGAGAGGAGGGTGTAGGAGGAGAGGAATTATGAAGTATGAGGTATGTCTGATGAGGATGTTAGTGAGAGGAGTAGGAGTAGTGATTCTGCGTGATAGGCTTGTAATTGATTGTCTTTAGTGCTGATTGCTACTGTCATGAAGGTAGGAGGATTAGGAGAGGAGTAGAGAGGAGGAGAAGAGGAGGAATTAGTAGGCGGAGGATAGGGAGGTAGGTCTGGATGCATCGCCGTGCTTTCTCAGAATGTTCCCTCGCCGCTGTCGGTCCCCCCTCCGGCAACGCTGGGGGGGGGTGTGGGTGTGGTGTGGGGCACCCCCCCCCCGGCTCGGCGGGCGCGGTGCCGGGCTGCGGCGCGCGCGTGTCCCACGTGCTGCGGTGCGCGGCGGGGCTGCCCACCGCCCGCCAGGAGCCTCGGAGGCACGGAGGTTGGCACCAGCACTGTCGCAGGCCCAGAGGTCGACACCAACACCAGGATCGGCGGTGTGCCTCCACCGAGGGATGAAGATCCCAATCTCGGTGATGGTGGTAATATTCTGGCTTCCGAGGTGACCGAAATGTTACCACCAACACCGAAATCCAGGATCATCTTCCCCCTGTGGAGGCAACCCCCTGTTTTGGTGTTGTTGCCCATTTCCAGGCCTCCAACACTGGTTCGGTGGCAACAAGAAACCCCAGCCCTGAGACCCCAGGACGTCCATGGATTTTTGGTGTGGGAACGGCACGCTCTCCATCGCAAGACCATCGAGAGCCAAGAAACCCAGGGCACCCTGGTTTCTTGGCATGGGCCTCCACTCAAGGGGCAAAGATAGGGGTGGACAGGCGTGAGGGGGGATGCATCGACCCCCAATCGCCCATTGATCGCCGACAGGTGCCCCAGTGCCCCGCCCCGCCCAGGGAGGTGCGGAGTCACTATCGGGGGCCTATCGCCGATCTATCGGCGATGTATCGCCGACTCCAGGTCGATGTTTCCCCCCCTATCCGTATGCCCCTTGGTGTTGCCCCGCACCAGTGTCGGCGGATGTCTCCACCGCGGGAGGATGATCCCGATCTCGGCGATTCTATCTCGGGGACGGTTGTTCTAGGCCTCCTGGACGGGGTCGGAGCAGACGGGATCGGAGGATCGCGCCGCATCGCCGATGCATCGGCGATGCGGCTCGATGTGGAGCCCGATTTTCTCAATCCCGGTGTCGCCGGTGCATTGCCGACGTCGCCGATGCATCGCCGATGCATCGGCGATGCATCGGCGATGCGGGGCAATCCTTCGACCCCATATAATCCGACACCATCTGTGAGGCATCTAGTTATCAGATTCGGGCTTTCAGGTAGCCGAGAGATTATCACCAGCACCATCATCCAGGATCATCTCTCGCCTGGTGGAGGCACCCCCCCTGTGTTGGTGTTGGTGAAGCAGTGGCGAAGCGTCCTGGCTTGCCTATAGGCCCACCAGACAATGTACAAAGAAGCTTTTGTGGTTTCTACGACATGTTCTCAGAACATTTCTGGCTGGGACGGTCTTGTTTCAACACTTCGGGCCTATGTTCTAAGAACCCTTGTTTTGTTCTTAGAGCATTTTTGGGCTCTGAGAACATGACGTGGTAGGCCTATAGGAATGCCGGGCCAGTCGGTCCCTGCCCAAGTTGGTGCTGGTTTCCAGGCTCCCGAGGAGGACGTGGCGTACATGGACCTGGCCATGCCCCCGTGGTCCGATCGGTCGCCCGTGAGGCCAGGGAGGAGGAGGAGGAGGAGGAGGAGGAGGAGGAGGAGGAGAGTAGAGGAGGAGGAGGATGAGGAGTAGGAGGAGGGGGAGGTGGAGAGAGAGGTGAGGAGGAGTGAGAGGAGGAGGAGGAGGAGGAGGAGGAGGAGGAGGAGGTGCAGGCCCTCTTCCTTAAATCAGAGCAGGGCGAGCTGAGGCAGCGGGAGCTGGCCTTGGGGGGGCCCCCTCGTCGCAGCGGCTGGGCGCAGCTCGGGCAACTGGTGCGCTTGCACTGCCTGGGGAGGGGTCTGGGTACTGATTTTGAGCTGCCGTCGTCTTGGCTCGCTCCGCCTCGAGGGTCCGAGGGGGGGGGGTTATCCACAACCGCCGCCTGGGGGGTCGGCCCTCGGGGATCGCTGTAGGTGGTTGATTTATAGATATGTTGGCCCCTGGGGGATGCCGAATACATCCACATCCACGGCCACATCGGCGATGCATCGGCGACATCGGCGATGCATCGGGGCCGTCGGCGTGGAGAAAGTCAGCGTCCGCAGCCACTCGCATCGGCGATGCGGCGCGATCCTGCGACCCCATCTGCTCGGACCCCATCTGGGAGGCATAGATTGGTCGTCCCCCCCCCCCCGCCCGGACCCTCAAAAGTGGCCGACCGACCACGGGGCCCTGCCCGACAACGGCTCCGCCGAGGCGCTGCGGGCCGCGCTGTGCCAGGAGACGCTGGACTTCGTGCGGGCCGGCCTGGCTGCGCGGGGCTGCCTGATCTGCTGCCTGCAGGGCAGGAGCCGGCGACGTCAGCTCCTCCTCCTCCGCCTCCTCCTCCTCCTCGCCCTCCTCCTCGCTCTCCTCCTCGCTCTCCTTCTCCTCGCCCTCCTCCTCCTCCTCCTCCTCCTCCTCCTCCTCTTCCTCCTCCTCCTCCTCCTCCTCCTCTCTCCTCCTCCTCCTCCTCCTCCCCTTCCTCCTCCTACTCCCCTCCTCTTCTTCTTCTTCCTCCTCCTCCTCCTCCTCCTCCTCCTCCTCCTCCCCTCCCCACTCCAGTGCTGTCTTGGCTCGGGTGGTGTGCTCGCAGGTCCGCCGCTGCCGCTCTGAGATTATACGTGCGACGAAGTGCGGCCGCGCCGCGGCGCCGCTGGAGGCCACGCGAGGGGCCCTGATGGCAGTTCGCGCGGCACCCGGCTCGGCCGCCGCAGGAGGTCCGCGCGCGTCGGCGCGCCTCCTGCGGGCGGGGGGAGGGGTTTCCCTCCGCGCGGCGATCGCCGATATCGGCATGCAGCCCGCCGCCCCGCTTTGGCGCGGGCGACGCGGGCCCCCTCGTGGCGCCGGCCCGGCGCCGTCGCCCGCGCGGCTGCGGCGGCTGGAAGGAGGTGGACGCGCAGGGCGAGATTCGAAGCAGAACGCCATAAACATAGACTTTTTGGCGCTCCGCGCGGATTTCTTGGATCCGCGCTGGGGCGCCCCTGGCGGCGCCTTCGGCGCCGCCCCTGGCGCGCTCCGCGCGCGCTCTTCCTATTCGTCGTGTTATTCGTCTCCTCCTTATTCTTCTTCTTCCTCTTCCTCTTCTCCTTCTTATTTCTTTTTCTTCATTAATTCGTTTATTTATTGTTTCCTCCTTCTTCTTTTAGAGATGCAGGGAGTCGTGGGGGAACAGGCCCTGGGTGGTGGGGCGGCTGAGGCGCCGACGTGCGCGGGGGCCCTGGTCGTCGCCCTAGCCGCTGGCGTCCGACGAGCGGGCGGCCGGGCTACGGCTGGTGCGGGAGGCGCGCGGCCGTCCCGCGGGCGGCGCGGGCCTGGGCAACAAAAGATATGTATCCGGAGAATTTTAAACATTCTTCCAACGCGCGCCTCTAGGAGGACATGCCCGACCTGCCGCTGGTCCAAGGTGGTCGTCTTCTTATGCGCTGTTTTGCCGATCGGCGCGGGCCCTCGCCCTACCCCCACCCCATGGAGTAGATCTTGGCTGTTTTTGGCGCCTGTCTCCATCCTTCTTTTCCTTTGGCCGCGTCCCTCCTCCCTTCTCTTCTTCCTGCGTGGTAGCACAATTCGGCCCAGCGGTACCCGCGTTCATGCCATTCATCGCCAGCGCAGTCGCCTTCTGCCTAGTTAGCTGCCGACATTTTTTATATATAAAAACAATGTTGGCGCCTGCTTCAAGCAGGTGGAGTCTTGGCCCAGCGCGGCGAGGCAGGGTAGCCGTTCGCGTTCGTCGGGCCCGACGGCGCGTTGGTTGTCGCGGTCCGAGAGGTCGTCATCGTCGACCTCGCGGTCGCGGGCCTGGGCTCCCCAAGTGAAGTTCAGGCTCCCCCGCGGGCGCGGCTGCGGCCGCGCGCTGGGCGGAGAGACCCTTCGCCCTCTGCCGCGCTCTCTCTCTCTCTCTCTCTCTATCTCTCTTTTTATCTCTTTATTTCTTTCTTTCTTTCTCTCTCTCTCTCTCTCCTTCCCTCTTTCCCTCTTTCTCGCTTTCTTTCTTTTTGCTCTGACACTTCCTCCCCCTCCTCCCCCTCCTCCTCCCCTGCCCCCTCCTTCTCCATCTCCTCCTCCTCCTCGTCTTCCTCCTCCTCTTCTCTTTCGTTTTCTTCCTCTTCCCCCGCCTCCTCCTCCTCCTCGTCCTCCTCCCCCTCCTCCTCCTCTCTCTCCTCCTCCTCCTCCTCCCCCTCCTCCTCCCCCTCCCCCTCGCCCTCGTCCTCTTGCTCCTCCTCCTCCTCCTCCTCCTCCTCCTCCTCCTCCTCCCTCCTCCCCCGTGGCCTCTTTGGCTCGAGCGAGTCAGGTGGCGAAAGGCCCGCGCGCGGTTGCGCGCGCCCTGCCCCGCGCAGCTGTGCGCGCGCGGCCGATGGCGGACGCCACGAGGCGCTGGGCTGCGGCTTCGGCGCAGACGCGGGCGCGGTGACGGCGCCACGCGTAGCGTATAGATGTTGGCATGGCGGCGGCGCGGGCGCCCGGGCGACGCGTCGACATCCTCCTGGGGACGCTGGGGGCCCACCGGCCGCGATCGGGGGCCGCGAGGTTCAGATCATGGCGGCGACGGGCGCGGCCGAGCTCCTTTGCCCTAAGTCGGGCCTGCCCTTCTACAGGAGGAATATTCAAAACAAATAGTGAAGACTAGCCAGGGGACTTTTTTTCCGTATTTTTGAATATTGTTGTAGTTTTTTTTTTTTTTTTTTTTTTTTTTTTACATTTGTCGTCCAAAATCCGCCTGTAGGGGGACATGCCCGACACAACCTTTTCTTGGGCGCGGCGCAGGCCGAGGAGCTCGGGGCCGGGGCCAAGTGCTCTCGGCATGCCGCCCCAGGCGTGCTCCCCGGCGAAGGTGCGGCAGACGCCCGCGGGGATCGCGGCTTCGGTGCTCGAGGAGTTCGGCGGGTGTCTGCGTGCTTCTGGGGAGGTGGAGCAGCCGACTGTGGACCTGCTGCGGGCGGCCTTCGAGGTGCAATGCGGCGAGGGCGCCGATGATGGCGATGATGATGATGATGGTGATGTTGGTGGTGGTGATGGTGATGATGTTAATTATGGGGGTGATGCTGATGATGAGTGATGATGGTGGTGGTGGGGGTGGTGATGATGATGGTGGTGCTGCTGATGCTGATGGTCATGATGGTGATGACGATGCTGAAAATCATGATGGTGATGATGGTGATGGTGATGAGGATGATTATCATGATGATGAGGATCGTGATGGTCGTGGTGCTGATGATGGTGATGATGATGGTGGTGGTCATGATGATGGTGGTGGTGATGATGATGAGGATGATGCTGACAATGATGGTGGTGATGCTGATGACGACGATGATGCTGATGATGACGATGATGATGGTGATGATGCTAATGATGATGGTTTTGATTGTAGTCGTGCTGGTGAAGGTGATGATGGTGATGGTGATGGTGATGCTGATGCTGATGATGATGATGATGATGATGATGATGATGATGATGATGATGATGATGATGATGATGATGATGATGATGATGGTGAATAATAAGAGGGGGGTGAAGCCTACTCGGATGGGACTGACGCAGAAGTCGGGCTGCTGCGTGCGCTCGATTTCATGCGCGTGGACGGGTGCGGCAAGGTCGCTGTGGACGCGGGCGCGAGGCTGTCCCCAGAAAAGGGCGAGAACGGCGAGAATGAAGCGAAGTAGCCCGTGCTCGGCACTTCCGTTCTGGAGTCTGGAGGCGCGCGTGCGGGCATCGACATTTATGTGTCGGACGCCGATTTCGGGTGCGAGGGCGGGGCGACCCAGGCGCAGGAGGAGAGCGTGTAAGGAGAGCGCGAAGAAGCTGGGGTCGAGAAGATCGAGGAACGCGCGGCAGTGCTCGGCCTGAAGCGCCGAAGGCCGATTCGTGGAGGTGCCAGCGGTCGCGGCGACAGAGGCGCTGCGGAAGGCGACCTTCGATGACAGCGCCGGGGGACACGCTTCGCGCGGGAGGCTGTCCGCGCGACGCGTGGGGTTCGTCGCGCCGAGAGGCCGGTGCTGTACTCCATGCAGGCGACCTGTCCAGGCATCTCGAAACGCCGGATGCAAGCATGGCTGCGAACTTCATCCTTATGGAATGCGCAGGCCAGCACCGAAATCAGCACCATAACGAGCGCGCACTAGGCCCATTCGTGGTCAGGTTCCTCGAAGCGCAGCCCGCCAAGAAGCCACTCTCCTAACAGTCCGGGGCGCGCGCGGGAGTGGCGGCGCGCGGCCCGCCTCGGGGCGCGCGAGAGCGCGGGGGCGCGCGCGGCCGTGGAGGCCGCCAGGAGAGAGGAGCAGCGCCGGGGAACGCAGCCAGGCGAAGGGCGACAGCATCGTCCTCGAAGCGAGTGCCTCCTTCGGGCGATCGCAGACACGGATGAGGGGGGGGCGTGGATCAGCGACGGGTCCCGTTTCCACGGGAAGTCGCGGGTGCCCGCCGCCGAGCGAGGCGGCGCCGGGCCGCATTTTGGGGAGGGCGCCTCCCCCAATCCATGGGTTTGGCGGCGGCGCGCCAAATCCACGGATCGCTAATCCATGTTTGCGCGCCCCCGACTCCTCCACTCCCAGGGTACGGCGGCCCAGGGCCTCCCTAGAAGGCCTTCCAATCTCACCACCCACCAAACCACCCCACCCCAACCCGAAGGCCGCAATTTGCCCTCCATTTCCAGGGGGGGGTCGGGGAGCGTTGACAAAAACATATGGAACCCGTTACCCTCCCAACCCGAAATTCGGCTCAAATTCGCTTCTTCGGGTTGGGTTGGGGTCGCTTGGTAGGTATTCACAGTCTGTGCCCAGGCATCCGCTTCGGCCAGCTCGAGCCTGCCAGCCAAGATGAAGGTGACATGTGAGAAGGCCGCGGAGGTCCCGCGGACACAGAAGTTCGAGAGGAATGGGGCCGAAAGGAGCGAACGTATCGTGGAGCTACAGACTGAAACAAAGGGCCTGCACGCGGAGAAGGCCGAAACTGTCTCGCCCGGGTCCGGGCGGGACTACCCCACTGGAAAGCGTCTAGCATTTTTTCGGTTCGGAAGAGAGCAGCACAAACATCGAGCAACTTCATTGTGAAGGCCTGACGGCTGGTGCCGCCGACCCTGAAAGACATCGACGACGACCAGGAGTGGCAGGAGGAGAAGGAGGAGGAGGAGGAGGAGGAGGAGGAGGAGGAGGACGAGGACGAGGAGGGAGACGAGGAGGACGAGGAGGAGGAGGAAGAGGAGGAGGAGGAGGAGGAGGAGGAGGAGGAGGAGGAGGAGGAGGAGGAGGAGGAGGAGGAGGAGGATGAGAAGGAGGAGGAAAAGGACTCCCTTGGGGCCCCCCCCCTGGGGAGGAGGACCGGAGGAGCACTGGCGTGGGAAAAAGGGAAGGGCGGGGGAGGAGGACCCCCAGGGACGGATGCGTATTTGACTCCCCTCCCCCCTCCCCACCTTGGGAGGAGGACCCGAGGAAGACCGGCGCGCCGGAGAAGGACCGGCGTGGGAGAGGAGGACCCCCAGAGGCGATGCGGATCTGACCCCCCCCCCCAGGACACCCCCACCCCACCCCGCCGTGGAAAGGACAAAGGGAAGGGGCTTCCTTTGACGTAGTGAGGATGTGGATGGGATTCCTTCAAGCTGCGAGCCCGTTTCCCGAACGAGGAAGGGTGCTCTCTCTCTCTCTCTCTCTCTTTCTCTCCCCCGACGGGAGAGGAGGATGGGAAGGAGGGGGCGACAGCAGGCTCCCCGTCGACGGGACGGACAGACACCCCACACACGCCGGCAGAGTCGGCGGATTCAAGAGCAACACGAACATCGAGCAACCTTATTCGCTGATCATCTTGGGGGACAGTGACAGCATGGTGAATCTGAGAACGGACGACGGTGCACTCGTTCTCGTAAGTGTTCGTCTCGTGTGAGTGCGCCCGCTGTGCCAAAACAACTTCCAGAATTGCCAGAAGCCGCGAAGGCTTCGTGGCAGCAGCAGCAGTTGGTCGTGCCACACTCCCCGCCTTCGGAGGCGCCTTTCTCTGCCACTTGAGGGTCGAGGTGGCCGGGGGGGGTCCCTAGCGGGAGCTGCGGGGTGGTGGGTCTTTCTCTCCTCTCCTCCTCTTCCCCGCTCCCACGCACGCAGTGCTTCGCAAGACGTCACACAAATTGAGAAGGGTCGAATTTACAGTGCGTCGCAGCTCTCTGTTGCAGCCTCGCCTTCTTGTGTCGAAGCCTCCCCTGGGAAGTTGCAGATTTGCAGTGTGTCTGTCCCTTGGACTGTCAATCGCAAGTGTTCTACAGACAGTTGTTTTTTGTTGCTGAAGGCTGATGCCACGGTGCATCCTGCCACACAGAAGGGTAGTGCCACGGAACAACCAGCCGTAATCGATCGTCAGGATTTTGGTTCCCGACCCGAACCCACTCCAATTCCGAGCGCTGGTGCCCATCATCCCCGTCCCCTTCCTTCTCCCCCTCTTTTTTCCTCCTCCCTCATCCTCTTTCCATTCCACCTCCTCCTCCGCTGACCCCCTCGCCGGCCCCTGAGATCTGGGCGGTGCTAAAAAATCCGGACCTTCTGGGAATTTTTCGTTGGTTCTTGGGGAGTTCCCAGATTCGGGATGCTTTCCGGCAGCTGCGCTTCGCCGAGGGGTGCCCAAGTCGTCCCGAACGGCCGCCAGAGGCCCGAGTTATGACCCGAAAACCCTCATGTGTCCGGGTCCGGCAGGGATCGATTTGGAATCGGCGACACATCGCCGAAAAGTCGTGGGCCCTGGGGCCCGCATGGGGTATTTTTTTCGCAGCGGGCGTTTTCGTCCGATTTCGGTTTCCGGGACCACAGATGGGTCCCGTTCAGAAAATGCAGCAGAAACGTGGAGTCTAGGGCCCCAGTCGTGATTTTTTCGGGATGCAGTTTTTTTTGGGGGGGGGGCGGGTGGCAACGTCAGATCTCAAGGATCTGGGCTGGGCCCTTCCGAGTCCAGGAACCGTGTATGCGCCCTCCTGGAGTGTCCAGTCCAGGGAGCCGCATTATTGGCCTCGCCCAAACACTCGAGCAGGGAATCGGCTACAGAATCCGTTCGCCCAAAAATTATGTTTTCGTCGGAAATAGAAAACGTGCGAATGGTTGTAGATCTACGAATATTCGACGTAGTTTTTGGTAGACCCGACGAACAAATCAATTCTAGGGTAAACCAATTCGGTAGTTGATCTGTCACTCGAAACATGCTCATCCTGTAAATGCTTGTGTGTGTGTGTTTGTGTGTGTGTGTTTATTTGTGTACGTGCAGCACTATCATCTGATGCCCGCGCCTGAGGGTCCTCTGCGCCGCCGTCTTGTATACATATATTAGGTCATCAATATGTCTATGCATCTGTACATGTATATGTATATAACTGCGTATATTTATATGTACATGTGCATGTATGTGTATGTGTATATAGATATAAATGTTTGTATATGCGTTTGTATATACATATAAGTATAAGTGTACGTATACTTATATGTATACGTGTATATGTATGTATGTAGGTGTTTGTGTATGTGCATCTGTACATGCACATGTACGTGTATATGCATGTGTGTATGAACATGTGTTTGTGTATACATATATGCGTATGTGCAAATACATACGTATATGTATGTGTATATGTGTATGTACATGTATGTATGCGTGTATATGTATATGTGCATGTATATAGTAGTACATATGTATAGATACATACACATGCAGATACATGCATGCAGGTGTATGTGTAATAGCTATACGTATACATGTATGTTCTTGTATATGTATATGTGTATGTAGTTGTAGCGTATCTAAACACGTAACTGTTTATTTTCATTTTCATGTCTATATAATGCATATCGATGTATGTATGTATGTGTTCATCTAACACATATACATATATATATATATGTATATATGTATGTGTATATATGTTTACGAAAAGTATATACATGTGTGTGCGTCGGCCCCGCAGGGTCGGCGCGCGCGCTGAGAGATCTCGTAGCGTAGTTGAGCTTGGTGGCGGGCTCTCTCTGGCGGTGCTGCTTGCCTAACGGTAGGGTTGAGGCGGGGTCCTGCGGACGACCCCTGGCGCGCGAAGAAGTGAAGCCCAGAACGGCGCTTCCTGCACCGTTTCTGGCGAATCTGGCGGCTTCGCGGGAAGATTCCCGACCCGGCGCTCGCGCTCGGGACGTTCGCGCGAAATCGGCCCCAGGGGAAGGGCCAAGAGGAGTGCCTCTTGACACCGTTTCCAGCGAATCTGGCTCATCAGGCACACGCCCCTTCCCCTGTGTACGAAACTCTCGATCAGCCGCAGAGCGACCAGCTCGTATAGGATGATGCCGTCCAGTTCGAACATGCTCATCCCTCATAAGCGCATATTGCTGGTATGCAATGTGTGGATTTTCCGAATACGGGGTCCCCAGAAGTCCTGCCCCTTGCCCCAATTCCGTTTTTTCATCCGGAGTCGTTTTTGGATGATCCCATGGCCTGGCGAGGGCCCGCTGAGGTCGAGCATGGCCGAAAGCCCCCCGTCGTGATTGTTCTCGACGACGCCAGCACGTCTGGGGCAGGGTGCCCTGCGCCCTACCTCCAGTATGCACCGATCCTGAACCCAGGGCCGAGCTGGCCAGGAGTCGGTGCCGAAGTCCCCACCCGGAAGGAGCCGCTCGGTGAGCGTGCTGCTCGGCTTCCTGCTGCTGGAGAGGGGCGTCGGCGTGGACGAAGGCTCCCTCCGGGGGGGCGCCTTCACAGCTTGACCCTCTGCTCCCAGACCACCTCGAGTCGTGAAACAAGTACGGCGCGATTTTTGTTAGTTTATTCTTGCTATTTTCCGCCTCTGGAGGCCTGTACGGGGCTTCGGGGCCTTTAAGCAACGACTCAGGATGGAAAGCCTGTCCCTAGGAAGGGGTCCATATCTTTGATGGTCCACGTCGTGAAACAATCACGGCGTGGCAGCTTGACCTCTTGTTTGTAGTTTCTCCGATTCTCGAATCAGAACACAGCCTAGAACATAGACGTTCGACGCTCCGCGCGGACCTCCGTCGGTTCTGTTTGTGCCGTCGCTGTTCCTACATTGCAGTCTTTCCATGCCGCGGCAGCTCCGTTCCCATCCGGTGTTGCCGAGCTCTCCTGGTTGTTTGCCAAGATGTCGCTGCAGGGGCAGATCGTAGGGCTGCTGACGCATGCGGGGGATGGGGAAACGAGTGCAGCCAAGACGCCGAAAGAGTTAACATGTCGGGCCCAGGTGGGGCTCCCTCTTCCGGGCGCCGCTCCCTAGATATCCCGGCCGTGGAACCCCTTCGTGGCCCAACACCCCCGACCTCGGACATCCTGGGCGACAGGGAGGGGGGCTCCGACCCCCCCCTCCAATTTTCGGAAGGGGATTTGGGCGGCGGCGTCTTCGCTGGGGAGGGACGCTGACGCAGACGCAGACGCGCGAGTCCGCCGGCCGGCGGGCCAGCAGGCCCCTTGGGGGCGGCGCGGGCGGGCCGGAGCCCAGTCACAGGCATGTGATTTTCAAGAAGTCGCCTTCGAGGTCTGCCCAGAATTTGGAAGTTTTGGCACTCTGTAGCCATGTGCCGGGTGTGCTTCCAACCGAAGCCCTCTGTAGAAATTCCGTGATGTCGTCGTTCCACCGTTTCGTTGCCCGCCTTGTCGGCGTCGTGCTGGCCCGGGGTCGTGGATAGGCGGAGGGGGTGGCGGAGGCCCCGGTGCCGGAGAGCCCTCGAGGGGGTGGCGGAGGCCCCGGTGCCAGAGAGGAGGCGGGGAGGACTCGCGCGGGGCGGGGGACAGGCCCTCTCCCAGAGCAGGGGGGAGGTCGGGAGAGTGCGCACCAGCGGGGCGAGAGCACGGCAGGCAGACGGCCTCTCTCATGGGATGCGTCCTCCTCCTCCTCCTCCTCCTCCTTCTTCTCCTCCTCCCTCCTCCTCCTCCTCCTCCTCCTCCTCCTCCTCCTCCTCCTCCTCCTCCTCCTCCTCCTCCCTCCTCCCTCCTCCCTCCTCCCTCCTCCCTCCTCCCTCCTCTTGGGGCCACGTGGCGAGGCCCGAGGCGTGGGCGACATTCCGAGGGGGGCCGCGTCTCCGTGGAAGCGGGCGACTCAACAAATACGCTCCTGGTTCGTCGTCGTCGTCGTCGTCGTTCTCGCCGTCGAGGTCGCAGCTACGTATTTTGTTTGTTTGTGTTGTTGTTGTTGTTGTTGTTGTTGTTGTTGTTGTTGTTGTTGTTGTTGTTGCTTTTTTCCCCCATTCATCTTCCCTACCCCATGTCCTACTGCTTGGTCTCACCCAATGTCCTACCGCTTGTTCGCATTACCGAGGCCGAAAACGTCTGCAAGCACCGCCGTATTTTTCCACGACACGAGGATGCCAGGGCCTCATTCGAGGCAATTCGATTCGCCAGCTGGGGCGGCGATTTTGATTCGCCTCGATCGGCTCGATCCACCGGCATCGCAGCCGGAGCTGGGCGCGGCTATCCCATTTCGGTGCGGTTTGGGACGATTCGCGGGCGATCCGATCCGCTTCCGACCCGATCCGACCTCTCTGCAGCGATCGAGGGGGGGAAGCGACAAGGAGAAGGCACTCTCAGAAGGCAGCGGGACTTCTCAGAAGCCCCTGCGCCTGCTGAGAAGTTTATTATTCACCGAGCGCGTTCCACTACTCGCAAAGTGCCTACTCGCAAGCGTCAACAACAGCGAGCGTTGTTCGATGCAATGGAGCCTGTTTGCCTTGACACACTGGATTCAGAACATTTGCGAGTAATTATTTTGCGAGTAGTGGAGCGCGCTTGTCTAGTTTTGGTGTGCTCGGGGAATGCTTGAACAGAACTTCTCAGACGGCCCGGGGAACTTCTGAGCCTCCTGAGGAAGCCCGACCCTTCTCCTCCTCCTGCTTCCTCCTGCTCCTCCTCCTCCTCCTCCTCCTCCCCCTCCTCCTCCTCCTCTCCTCCTCCCCTCCTTCTCCTCCTCCTCCTCCTCCTCCTCCTCCTCCTCCTTCTCCTCCTCCTCCTCCTCCTCCTCCTCCTCCTCCTCCTCCCCCTCCTCGCCATCCCCTCGCGTCGCCTGCGGCCCCGGGGGGGAAACCGTCCAGGGCGGCGAAGGAGCGGGGCGCTCAGCCCCGCTGCCGCGCAGGGCGCGCGCCAGAGCGCGGGGCCTCGACTCTCTAGGTCTAAGTCGGGCATGTCCCTCCCACAGGAGGAAGATTCCTCCTCCTCCTGCTTCCTCTTGCTCCTCCTCTCCTCCTCCCTCCTCCTCCTCCTCCTCATCCTCCTCCCCCCTCCCCTCCTCCTCCTCCTCCTCCTCCTCCTCCTCCTCCTCCTCCTCCTCCTCCTCTCCTCCTCCTCCTCCTCCTCCTCCTCCTCCTCCTCCTCCTCTCTCTCTCTCTAGGCTTACAGTGCGGTTTTTAATACATGCTCCGCGTGAGGATCATGTATTAAACATGCAGGGGTTTAGTATTACCAGCAATGATGAGTTCATGCATGAACTTATTCATAACTTACTCAGTTTTATATTACAATCTTATGTTAAACAAACTGCCCTGTAAGTCGGGCATGCCCCTCCCACAGGAGGAATATTCCAAACATGATGTAACAGAAAAGCCTGGGAACGATTTGTTCTACCATGATGTTAACAGTTGTCGAATTTTTGGTGTGCGTGCCTACTTCTCATTTTTCGTCCAAAAGCCGCCTGTAGGAGGACATGCCCGACCCAATCCTAGGCCTCCCAGGTGGGGTCGGAGTGGATGGGTCGGAGGGTCGCATAGCATCGCCGATGCATCGCCGATGCGGCTCGTTGTGGAGCCCGATTTCCTTCGCGCGGAAGTCGCCGCTGCATGGCCGACGTCGGTGATGCATCGCCGATACATCGGCGATGTACCGCCGATGCATCGGCGATGCGTCGCGATCCTCCGACCCCATCTACTCGGACCCCATCCAGGAGGCCTCTAGATTCATCGAGCGCGTTCCACTACTCGCAAATCGCTTACTCGCAAACGTCAGAACAATAACATGTTTTCCTTTACGGAATACATCGTACATCCCCCGCGGCGGATCCAGAACATTTGCGAGTAGTTACTTTGCGAGTAGTGGAACGCGCTTGTCCATCAAGTGTCACTACCCACCGAACCACCCCAGCCCAACTTGAAAGCCCCAACTTGCCCTCCATTCCCGGTGGGGTGGGCGTCGGGGAACATACAAGAACACATGTGGAACCCGTACCCTCCCAATCCGAAATCGGGGCCTGTCTTCGGGTTAGGTTGGCGTGGATTGCTAGGTCGTCAGATTGGTGTGTATAGAGGTTCAGGTGAGAGGCCCGATGCGCTTCAGGTATCTCTGTCTGCCCAGGTAGGGCGACTGCCCCCCGACTCAGGCGGGGGTGTGCGGCGCACTTGCTCGAAGAACAAGAAACGCCATGGGCATAAGCTGTCGGAGGTCCGCGCGGATTTCTTGGATCTGCGCTGGGCCCCCTTTCGGCGCCTCCGGCGCCGCCCCTGGCGCGCCCCGCGCGCCTGGGAGGGGGTTCCAGCGTGGATCCAAGAAATCCGCGCGGACTGGCGAAAGTTTATGTCAATGCCGGTTTTTGCTTCCGTTTTTGTGTTAAGTCGGGCGTGTCCTTCCACATGGGGGAATATTCAAAAATAGGAGAAAATGTCAGGGGACGATGTTTCTAGCATCTTTTTGATTATTTTTGAATTTCTTGAATATATTTGAAACATTTGTCTCCCACATCCCCCTGTAGAAGGACACGCCCGACCTAATGTTTAACATCAGTTTTTCTCGCCACCGAGGGGGCGTCGGGTTTGGGCCAGGCGGTGCGGCGCCTCCGACGGGCACACCACATCTCAGCAGCGTTCAACCGACCCCCATCCCCATCCTCATCCCCTTTCGAGACCCCCACCAAATCGCCACCCCAGTGGGGGATACGCCCCTAGAGACCCGAAGGGAACGGCCCACATCCCCATCTGGGGGGGCAAAACGGCCAGTGGGGCTCAGGCCACGCCGCGGGGGATGGGGATCGGTTCAACGATGCTCCGAAGCGTCGTCCAGCGCTTTCTGGCCTCTCCCCTGCACCTGCACGTGGGCGTGGATGCCCAGAGGCTTCCCGGAGATCCGACGCTCCGAAACGAACATCGGAGAGCGGCGGGCTTTTTGGCCCTTCTCGGCCCGCAGGGGGCCCTCGCCCGGCCTCGGGGCCGTCCCCGCGCGATGCAGGACGCAGAGCCGGCCCCGGGGAAGTGGTCCGGCGAACTGATCGGGAGCCCAGGAGGAGGAGGAGGAGGAGGAGGAGGAGGAGGAGGAGGAGGAGGAGGAGGAGGAGGAGGAGGAGGAGGAGGAGGAGGAGGAGAAGGAGGAGGAGGGGGGGCCGGTCACGTCACGGTGCGCGCCGGCGCGCCGTCTGGCAGGGCCAAGTCCGACGCGGCGCCGGCGCGACGCGTGGCGCGACCGGGAGAGGGGGGCGAGGGCTTGGCGGGGAGCCTTGAGACGGGGGTCAATGCAAACGGGGGTCAGCCAGGGCGCCAGATGCTGCAGGATCCTGCGAAGACCCCCTCTGGCTGACCCGGGTTCGGGAGCCGCCCGTGGCCGCGAGGCGGCCGCGCATATCGGCTGACCCGGGTTTGCGAAGACCTGCGCGGCAGTTTTTTGTCCTGCATTGCAGTTTTTGGTCTCCTGCTGACCCGGGTCTGGATTGACCCGGGTCAGAAGATCCCCGAACTGATGGCGTGCAGGGTGCG